ATACTCTCAGCATTCAAACACCCCACAGAGGCAAAATGCTCCAAAACAACTGAGTGCTGCCCACACCAGAAAAAAAGAGATTCTGGATTCCACAGTTGCACAAACAACGATACCCCCCCCCCCGCCGCCCCACACACCCTCCCTTTGTGTACAAGAACACTTCCGAGGGCACGAATGTCATGGAAATATGGCCACTGAGGAAATGGCTTACGGTTATCTGGCCCCCTTCTCCACGGCAAGTCCCAGCCCACTTAAGGCAGACGAAGGGCAAGTGCCTGAGCTAAGACTTCTTGCCACCCTTGGTTTGCACATGAAGACTGGAAAATTAATGTAAAACTTAGGAAAACGTCTGATGTTTGTGCTTCATAGGAGGTTTCCTCCTTGATGTCGAATCGCTTCCACCTTGTGAGCCTTGAGCTTTCGCACGGCCCGGTCCCTGACCTACTTCCTCTTCCTTCCAGAAGTGCTTCCATCATCCCATTCCTAGTACAGAGCGGGGACAGAAGCGGCTTGTGGAGAGGGTCCTGGGGCTGAGCAGGGAACGAGGCAAATGGGCCCGGTTGGGTCCTTGCCACAGTGCAGCTCAGCGGAGCACTCGGCCCTGGGTCGGAAAGCCCCCGGACCAGAAGAAGGAAATGCGTCCTGCCTCCCAGGGAGCCCCAGAGGGATACGTACTCTGCCGATGAGAAGGCCATCTCAAAGTTGTGCCGTCGGTCCTGCGGCGAGAGCTGTGCGTAGTCAAAGGCCTCGGGGAAAAAATTATGGACAAGTGCACAGAAGGCCATGCCGTCACTCCAGCTCGAGGAGAAGTTCTGGATGTCAACATGCTGCCGAAACAGAGGGAAGGGGGGAACGGGTTATCCAAGATATAGGAGGGCCTGGATGGAGAGGAGCAAGAGGGCCCGCCACCCAGGAGCACACTCACCTCATAGCCCCGGGTCTTGGCGCGGCACCAGTCCAGAAGCATTTGCTTGATGCTGCTGGCATTGGGGACCCCAAAGCTAGCGGAGCGCTGGACAGCCACCCGGGAGACCGCTGGGTTGGCCGGGCTGCAGGGAGAACACACAGCAACATCAGCCGGGCCACCCAGTTAGGCCACCGTATAAGTCAGAGAGGTCTGGTGCTCCTCAGCCCAAATGGGGCCCCAAAGGCAAGTCTACCCGACTCCTGGCAAACAAAACTCCCTAAGTTATCACTCCGTGGACAAGAAGTTTGCCTCCCAGCTTCACTTGGGAGGGTAAGAAAAACTGGTAAGAAATAAAAGTTGTAAGAAACAGCAAGAGGGCACACACTTTTTGGGTTACACCTCTGTCCTTATCCCACTGGTTCAGTAACTGGAAAGTCCTTGCTTTTTGTTTTTGGGGGGGGGGTGTTGGACAGGAAGAGAAATCTCAGTACGGATCCTGACATTCAAGATGGGAATTAGAATCAGTGACGTGAGATTCCCGGGAAAACATGACTCACAAAACAAAGGTGAATAAAGAATTTAAAAATAATTTAAATGTTAGCAAAACTTAAATAATATAAAGAAGGAAAGCAACCATGTACAAGCACTAGAGTTCATCCTTCACATCCTATATTTAGCTGTCTAGCATAATTGATTTGCAGCACAGAACCCTGACAATTATAGATAAACACAGACTAGATTTACATACATGGGGCAGGAAATTTCCCATGGGGAAAATATAGCATCAGAAAAATTTCTGGAAGTTCCCCCAAACACACAGCAGGAACGGGATCGCTTCAAACACCGAAAGTCTCCTGCACGAGACGTTCCCTTGCACGGTGCCCTCCCAGAGGCCAACCGTTCCTGCCTGCAGTTGTGCCCCACCCTGGATCCGTGGTCCAGCTCCTCACCTCCCGCTCTCCTTCTCCAGCTTCTCAATCATGGCCTTGCGTGCCTGTGAAGCCGAAGTCTTGGGCAAGCTCTGAGCCTTCATCAGCTCCTTCTTCTTCTCAGCCTGGCGCCGCTCCAGAGCAGCCAAGCTGCTTGCACGGCTGGGGCTCTCGTCCTCCCGCTCAAAGATGCTGGCAGAAAGAGGAAGGGGAACAAAGCAGAATGGGCAACGTGAAGGTAGAAACTACAACCCCCCCACTTGGCCCAGGGGAAAAGGCAGCGAGGGTCCAACCCAAGGGGTTTCTCATCCTAACACTTGACATTTTGGACTCTATTTAATAGGTTTCAAGCAAGCAGCAGTCTTTTCTAAGCTATCTGGCTGGAGGGGCTTCCTGCACGCACAGCGCATGTTCCAACCCTGAGCAATAGGCAGAGACACACATCTGCAACAGATCCATCAAGCTATATAGGAAAGGACATTAAAACGCATACAAAGAAACAGACAAAATCTCTCTCTCAGCTTTCAATTTCTCTCTTCTCCTCCTGTCCCTGCCAAATGTTCAGCCCACACAGAAATATCTTAAATACAGTACCTAGGGGAAGTGGAGGAAGAGGAGCAGCAGCCTAGGGCTAGCATAGCACAGTGTTTAAGAAACAGGCAGCCAGCCAGAAGATCCCTGGTTTGAAACTTGCCTCTGCCAGGAATTAAGCAGGTGGCTCGGGCAAGTCACCCACTCTCAGTCCCTTCTGGAAGGTGAGGACAATTATGAATCCAATGAGTGAATCCAATTATGCAGTTCCGCCAACAGAATGGCATTACCACTTGGGAAAGAGGGGGAAGCAATTTTCACCCTCACATGACAGACCCCCCACTTCACCTTCCCTGTGGTTTCTGGGGGTCTGTTTGACCAGCAGACACAAAATGGGGGGAGGGCAGGCTCAGTGGGCTGCAGCAGGAGGGAGAAATAGGAAAGCCCCATTCAGCTAAGTCCATGAATAGCTGGATACATGTCAATAACAGTGGCCTACCTAGCAGGGTTGTTGTAAAGCACACAGCACTTTGAACACTGAAAACGCTACATAAAGTAGTAGAAAACAGCAAGAGTCCAGTAGAAAAGACTAACAAAACTTGTGACAGGGTTTGAGCTTTCGTGAGTCACTGCTCATTTCTTCAGATACCGGACCACCCAATAATCTGAAGAAGTGAGCTGTGACTCACGAAAGCTCAAACCCTGGCACAGATTTTGTTAGTCTTTAAGGTGCTACTAGAGTCTTGCTCTTTTCTACTGCCACAGACAGACTAAGAAGAGATTGGATTTATACCCCGCCCTTCACTACCCAAAAGTGTCTCAGAGCGGCTTACAAACTCCTTTCCCTTCCCCCTCCCCACAACAGACACCCTGTGAGGTAGGTGGGGCTGAGAGAGCGCTTGACAGAAACCGCTCTTTTTCAAGAACCACTCTTATCAGAACTATGGCTTGCCCAAGGTCACGCAGCCAGGCGCAAGTGGAGGAGTGGAGAATCAAACCCGGTTCTCCCAGATTAGAGTCTGTGCACTTAACTGGCTCTCCCACTAACACGGCTACCCACCTTGATCTATCTACATAAAGTACTAATTTATTTAATTCATTTATACCTACATATCTCCCTAATGGGGACCCAAAGCGGCTTACATCATTCTCCTCTCCTCCATTTTAGCTTCACAACAACCCTGTGAGGTAGGTCAGGCTGAGAGAGTATGACTGGCCCCAGGTCACTCAGTGTGCTTCACTGGCACAAGTGGAGATTCAAACCCAAGTCTTCCAGATACTCGTCATCCGACACTCTTAACCACTACACCACACTGGCTCTTAGTGTTGTTATTGTCATTCATCCGACTAGGGAGCAGCCACTAAGAACTGGAAGTAGAGCTGACGACTCCAGGTTGGGAAATTCCTGGAGATCCAAGGGCAGAATTTGGGGAAGGAACTCAGCAGGGATGTGATGGCACAGAGCCCACCTTCCAAAGGTGCCATTTGCTGATCTCTGCAGTCAGTAATTCAATTGTAACCAATGTTCCCTCTAAGCTGCGGAGTCTTGTGAGCAAAAATTCTAGTCTGTGAGCTACTGGCATTAAAGTTGTGAGTGAGCAATTTGGCTCCTGTATAAATCGGCTTGCTCTGGAGCCCTCCTTCCTGAGCGAAGGCAAAAATGTGTGAGCTGGAGGCTAAAAAACTGTGAGCTAGCTCACACCAGCTCAGCTTAGAGGGAACACTGATTGTAACTCCGGGAGAACTCCAGGCCCCGCCTGGAAACAACATTATCCCAAAGCAGGCTGCTGATCCGGGGGGGTCTTTTTAAAATCAGTGCAGTGGAGCTGGGCTCCACCAGAAAGTTCTTCCACATAAGCCTTGCAAAAGCGAAGGCAGGTACTTGCAAGAGTCCTGGTGTGGAGAGAAGGGGATCGCCCTCACCTGCCCACTTTCTTGGAGGATGATGAGCTGAAGGATGACTTGGTCTGGACGAAGGTGTTGCCACCTGCAAGAAAGGGGAGAGATGATGAGAGGAGACACACACACACACAAAGGAGCCAGCCAGCCTTGCACATCAGGCCTGGGCAGCAGGAAGAGAACAGAAGCAGAGGAGGTCGCCACCCACAGGGGCTCCCACGGACCCCACCAGCCCCCGGAATTCCCTGCAAAGCACAAGGGACCATATAACGGGGAAAGGCTCACCTGGCCTGAGAGATACTCCCCCTAAGCCCTACCTCTGAACAATCTTTCTTTTAAAAGAGAGGAGGCTGCCTCTTGCCTTTTGCATAGAGAGATACCACGCAAAACCGGCAGACAGCATTTTGACCCTGTTGCTCAGCCAGCTTTCTGGCCACCGAGTGCAAAGGCTCTCAGATGGTGACGGATAAGCATGTGAGCATCATGGAAGAACGCAATCAATCAAGTCACCCATGTGCACGATTTTTTATGTTTACTCCCCACCATGCATGCAATTGGCCCCATTCGGCCACCTGATGATTGACAGCGGCATCCTTAGCCCCCCCCACCCCTGAATAATATTCTGGTATCCAGGCTTGGTCTAAGGAGGCCAGGAACCCCAGGAAAGGTAGGAAAGCCTCTTACTTTCGGATCTCTTCGTGAAGCTTGACTCCATCGTCGTCATGCGGGAACTTTTGCTGCCATCATCTGGGAGAGAAGGGGAAGGGAGAGAGATACAGGAGGCATTACTTAGGAAATGCCCTCCCTCACACCAATAATTAATACCGGGAGGCAAAAGCGAAATGGAGGGGCGGGGGGGGGGGGGGTTGTGACCCAGCCCGCCTGGACCTTGACACTGCAACTGGAAAGCATTTCCCACAAAATCTGTGGGCTAGCTTGTGGCTACTCACTGAAGAAAGGAAATGCACTCTGCACATGCTCATAAGCATCTGCTTCACTGTCCATTCTGATATTCTCAGGCTGAGCTATGGCTCTGGAAACAGATTCTGGGGCTGAATCCTGGCTCCCAGTAAGCCCTGCCCCCACACTGTCCCAGTCCTCTCCCCGCTTAAAAATGAAGAGAGAAAGGGGCAGAGGCCCCCCTCCACCGCCACCGATTTCATAAGCATCACCGACACTTTCAGATTTATGCCACACAGAACAGGCATCCCTAACAGGTCTAATTGCTCCAGTGGAGCCCTGAGCTCTTGGTGCCTTGCCAATCATCCGCAAGGCAGCAGCAGGGAAGCCCCGGAGTGAAGACCTGGTGAAGGCTGAAAGACGGCAGCTGCAATCGAGAGCCAGCAGGTATGGCAAAGCAGCCAATAGGAGGAGAGGTGTGGGGAAGAGAGAGAAGCCACCTGTGCAACCCAAGGAGCTGTTCACCCACTGTGGCTGTCAGGGCACGACTACAGAAATGGCAAAAAAAAGAGAAGCGGAACGCCCACCTGGATGAGCACTGGGCAGACCTCCAGGTGCAGGTGCGCAGCAGCAAAGAAGGGAGGCTGGGCGGCACAGCAAGAGCACGGGGGCAGAAAACAATCTCCCCAGGTAGTGCAGAGGAGGCGGGAGAGCTCCCCTTCTGCGGAAAAGGAGCTCCTGGAGCCGAGAGAAGAACTGCTAAGAGGAGGGAGGGCCCCTCTCCCAGTGCGAAGGAAGAACTGGCAAGGGAGAAGAGTGAGAAGAACTGGAAGACCTTCCAGAAGAGAAAGAGAAGAGCCTGTCTCCAAAGGCAGAGGAGCAGCAAAATGAGGGCGCAGGTGGCTGGGAAACTGGAGGTGACCCAGCAGCACATACGGAAGCCCCAGAGCAACCATGCGGTCGGAAGCCAAACTGAAGCAGGATACAAGACAGACTGAGAGCAGCGCTGTCCCCCCCCCCCCAAGCGCCAGCCTGGGTCTCCCACAGCCCGGCTCCTTACTGGACTGAATGAGGCGCTGGGTCTTGGTGACCGTGCTGACGGCTGAGCCGTTGGCCGACGTGGCGCTCTGCCGAGTGGTGGTCTCTGTGCTGTGACTGGCCCCCTTGGTCTTGGGTTCCTGCAGCCTCTGGTCCCGCTCCTTCTCTCGCTGCTCTGCAAAACGCACATCCCTCTGGGGTCAGGCACACTGTGGAATGCGGGGCACTGCCTGGCGCCCCCTGGCATCCTTCACACAGACAGAAGTCGCCTTGCCCGGGCTCAGCTGAGATGAATGGCAATGGCATGGTGGGAAGCCAGGCCAATCAGCCAGGAGGGGGGAAAGATATCCTGTCCCTTTAACGTTTGGAAATGGGAAGCTGAAGCTTCTCATGGCATGGAGGTTAACCAACATCTCCTGGTATTTGCTGCAGATCCAGTGGGTATCAAAAGGACAGCTGAAGGGTCCAGTTTGAAAGCTCAGGTGTGAGCTGAGGAGACCTAAGATGCTGGACTCTACAGATCAGCAAGCGGAATTTCCACAGCTCGTTCTGTGCACGGTAGGTGCAGAATCCACCTGCAAGCTGGGCCTCTTTGGACAACCTAGTCCCATTTGGCACCTCCCTAAGTCACTGCCCAGAGTAAAAAATGTGGTCATCTGAATCCACCCCTCCCAATTCCTTGAACGCTGCTCTGTTTCCTTAATTGCATTAATGCATGTCTCTGCATGCAAAGTCAAGACCGACTTTGGAGAATCTTAGGAAACTTACTCTGCTCATAAAGAAATGAATACGATAGCCAATTAAAACAGAGAACACACAGATTGGCAGGAAAATATTTTGGACATTTACATCTGAAATCAGATAAAGCGAACAAAAGGGAAAAAAGGAGCAAATGCAACTTGCAGTTTTTGAAACGTCTATATGTATATGTATAACCCTATACATGATTACAGAAACTAATGTAATAGTCCATTATTCTAGTCTCTGAAACTTTTGTACTGAGTGTACTTACTGGGTCTGGGAGTTGTGGCTTCAGTTGACTGAAATGAAACCTCCCTAATCAGTGGCTCAGCTACTGAGGTGTTACGTTCAGCAATATTTAAAACAGTCTGAGTCCCGATTCAAACACAGCATGGTGGAAGAGAGGTTCACTCCCCACTGCTTTCCACCATGCATCTAAAGAGACACATGACATGAACGCTCCATAATTGGGGCCGTAGGTTTCTAGCAGGTGGGATTCTTCAGAAAAGAGTCAGTAACTCTATTCAAATGAACTGAAATATGAATGCTGTGTGTCTGTATAAAATTACCATGTAAAATTACCATGTAAAATTATGTTTGTGAGCAGTGTATGTGTTTCTGAGTACCAAGATCAAGTCGTGCAAGTGATGGAGCACGAGACAATGAAGAGGGGGGGAAAGACACATTAATTGCAAAAGCCATCAACCTTGACTTGCTTTGCGCAGAATTTCCCTTGCCCAGGGGAAAGGCCACAGAAAGAAGAGCTTGCTGCTCAATTGTTCCCCTCCCCAGCTCTGCTGGGATTAGCCTTTCCCAAATAACAGTGTGCCAGGGCACAGTGCCCATACGAGGCACAACCGGCTGCACTGCAAGGTCACCTTTTCCCACCTGGCCTTCTGCAGCTGTTCCAACAATCTCTTACCTTCCAGGGAGGAAGAAAGGAGGGGGAAAAAGATGTGGTCCCAGCCCAAAGAGTGGTCTCACACTGCAAACCACAGAGATCCTGGGATAAGTCACTGGCAGCTAAGAATCCCAGGTGTGGTGCTGTCGTTGTCGGAAACGAGGTTCTAGCTTTCTATTACACACACACACACCCTCTCTCCAGTCTTGATCATTTGTGATTTCTTTGAAAGACACAGGAAGAGACCTGGATGGGGCTTCCACAGACAGGGAACAAAATGTGTGTGCGTACAACATGGTACTGTCTTGGTTTCTCTTTCCTTGATACAAGAAGCGAGAGGAAAATTCCCTACAAAACACAACAGAGCCCAATTTGGAAAAAAGGCCTGCCTGAAACAGGCCCAGATTTGTTTATACCAACACTGTGGCCAGAAGTAACCACCACCAACCAACCTGGTTTGCTCTGAGGAGGCCTGGTGAGCAGCACACAGCAAGTGAAGCTTTTCGCAGCATCTGTCACTTGCAAGTGTCTGCTGACCGGGCTGCTGTGAAATGCACGGGAGCATCCAACTGCAGCCGGGCAGCGATTCACGCACCCCTTTTTGGCTGCCTGTATTTGAGGGCATATCATCTCTGTGAATGCCACTGACAATCTAACCCTATACCATCTACACTGGCATCCACAGCCTTGTTTCTTGCTGCTTGCCCCTCTTCCCTGAGACCCAGTTGTCTCGCATGATCCTCTAGAACGTAAATCCTCTAATCTCAGAATTTAAGATTTTTCAAGTACACAATTCTAAACTTGTCCACCCGCCCCAGGTGAGTACCTCGCTTCCGCTGGCGCAGTTCCCGCATGGCTGCTCGGATTAACCGCCGCTCTTCAAAGTCTGTGGTCTGGTCAAGCTGCGGGGACAGGTCTGGAGAGTAAGAGGCGATCTCGTGGCCGCGGCCCCAGATTAGTTTATACCAACACTGTGGCCAGAAGTAACCACCAACCAACCAACCAGGTTTGCTCTGATGAGGCCTGGTGAGCAGCACACAGCAAATGAAGCTTTTCTCAGCATCTATCACTTGCAAGGGTCTGCTGACCGGGCTGCTGTGAAATGCACGGGAGCGTCCAACTGCAGCTGGGCAGCGATTCACGCACCCCTTTTTGGCTGCCTACATTTGAGGGTATATCGTCTCTGTGAATGCCGCTGACCAGGGGTCGTTTCGTAGAAAAAGAGCTGGGGAACTCATTAGCATAACTCATTAGCATATGCCACACCCACTGACATCAGAGGCGGGGAGGAAGCAACTTACCCTGCCTCTTCTCCTGGCTGAATGAGGGCTGGAAGCAGGGGGCGGGGCTTCGTCGTGTGCCCCGCCCCCTGCACCCCACCCCGGGGAACAGCAATACCCTTTTTGGCTGCCTGTATTTGAGGGCATATCATCTCTGTGAATGCCACTGACAATCTAACCCTATACCATCTACACTGGCATCCACAGCCTTGTTTCTTGCTGCTTGCCCCTCTTCCCTGAGACCCAGTTGTCTCGCATGATCCTCTAGAACGTAAATCCTCTAATCTCAGAATTTAAGATTTTTCAAGTACACAATTCTAAACTTGTCCACCCGCCCCAGGTGAGTACCTCGCTTCCGCTGGCGCAGTTCCCGCATGGCTGCTCGGATTAACCGCCGCTCTTCAAAGTCTGTGGTCTGGTCAAGCTGCGGGGACAGGTCTGGAGAGTAAGAGGCGATCTCGCGCGAACACACATCCTTTCCCCTCTGCATATCCACTAGGGCTGCCAGCCCCCAGGTCCGGGTGTGGGTTCCCCCGCTTCTGGGGGCTCCAATCCACTGCTGGCCAGTGGGGGAAGCCCCACCCCACAGTCACTGCTCTCCCTCCCCTCCTGCGGAAGTTTAAAGGGCTTCAGCTGATTGGTGGGGAGCACGTGGCCTGCTGATCAGCTGGAGTGCCCTTTAAAGCTCTCAGCAGGGAGGGAGAGGGGCTGTCGCCGGCTGCAGTTCCACTGGCAAAAAGAAAGGTGGTCGCAGCTTGGGGAAGTCCCCCCCACCCCAAATTTCATCACCTGCAGGCATACTGGTTGTACTTATTAACAAGCACGGAGTAATAAAATGCAAACACATGTGGCCAGGAAGCCACTCACCCCGCCGGCAGACCCACACCGTCTCCCAGACTTTGTGCAAGGAAGACATGAGATCAGGCGACCACCGGGTGCCCTGTCCGCCACCTACCATCTTATCCAGCACATCCTCCTCCTCAATTTTGCTCAGCTCTTCAGCGCTCAGTCGGCCTCGCTGCTGAACCCCCTGGGATTGGATCTTCTCCTTCACCGTCCCGTTGGCCAACTCTGGCTCTGCTGCCTGGGGCTGCTCCGGCAGCTCGGCATCCATCTGAAACAAGGTGGCAGCTGTATATGCTAAGCCAAGCCCCTGCAGCCCTAGGCCTGGTGCCCTGTGGACCCCACGGCCACTGCCCACTGCGTTCCTCTGACAGCTAAGTGAGCTGTAGGGCCAGCCCGAGCACAGGGCAGGGCGAGGAAAGCAGATTTTGCAGTGCTGCAGGAAGGGGAGCATGTCCTTTCTCTACATGATACTGTGGATCTGCCGCCCTCACCTTACCTAATGCCCTCAAGACATTAGTAGGAGTGAACCCTGTAGTGGAATAAAAATGGACTTCAAGAAGTCAGGGATGGACAGAATGTAGACTGCAGCCCACTGGCAGAGCACTGCACAATAACCAGTGCCCCACTGGACACTTGCTGCTGGCTAAGGGCCAAACTACACATCATGTTTCTAACAAGTTGGGTCCAGGGAACCTGCTTTCTTTGCAGCCACACAGCTGCTGTAAGGAACAACATTATAAATGTCCACCAGGGCCAGATTTAGCACAAGACTCCGGCGTGGGGGGAGGAAGGGCTCCTACCTCCCCCCATGTGCCCTTTTCCTGCACAGGAACAGCATAGGGGGTGAAAGCATCCCATTCTGATGTCCTGAACTGATTTCGGCCCTGCCGATCTTTAAATGCTGTTCCCCCAAAACCTGCATCCTACTTGTTAGAAAACGCAATCTGTACTTTGTCCATCAGACCCCTTGTCATGAATGCTGGACTAGGTGGGTCTGACCCAGTAAGGCACATTCTTTGGATGCTTGAGGTCAAGTGACTGACGTCCCCGGAGAAAAGTCACGCAAGGCAGAGGTGCTCCACCACCTGAACAATGGAACTTTTGCAAATGTGTGTCTACAAAGATGAGAACTAAAAACATGTTTTGCTTTTTTTAAAAAACGATGGATATCCATAGGGCTAGGTCAAGATGAGTAGCCGTGTTAGTCTGCCTGTAGCAATAGAAAAGAGCAAGATACCACTAGCACCTTAAAGACTAACAACATTTGTGGCAGGGTAGGAGCTTTCGTGAGTCACTGCTCACTTCTTTAGATGGTGTCTGAAGAAGTGAGCAGTCACTCACTCACTGCCACAAATTTTGTTAGTCTTTTATGATGCTACTGGACTCTTGCCGATATCCACAGGGTTATACTGCATGGCAAATGCGCAGGTCTACCCATGTGCAGGGCTGGAGCACCTTCTGCCTTTAAAGAACAAATCAAAATTCTGCACCAAGGTAAAACAAGAACACTCAACTTTGTAATCCACATACTTTATGCATAGTAAGGAAATGTGCACAGTTCATCCTGTTTGGCATAATGTTGTTGTTGTTTTTTTTTACTACTTTTGAAAGTTTATTCTGACCTTGCCAGTCATGGGGCAGGGCAGGGAGCAACACAGCTCACTCACACGTGAGATTTCAGCAGGCATCACCTGCACACGTAGGAGGAGGAGTTGGGATTTATACCACGCCCTTCACTCAAGAGTCTCAGAGCAATTTACAATCTCCTTCCCTCCCCCTCCCCACAACAGACACCCTGTGAGGTAGGTGGGGCTGAGAGATGCCTGAGAAAACAGAGAGAGCTGTGACTGACTCAAGGTCACCCAGCTGGCTGTAAGTGGAGGAGTGGGTAATCAAACCCCATTCTCCAGATTAGAGTCCGCTGCTCCCAAACTGGCTCTACCTCTGCAGCCATAAGGATTAGAAACTTGCTTTTTTAAAAAAAGACAAAACTCTCAGGAAACTGAATTCTCCATTTACTATCACAAGCGCCAGGCTTTCAACAGAATTCCCACTCTGCTTCTGTGTAGGGACACAGCAAGGGATGCCTGCAGCAGCCTGGGGCCTCCTGATAAACTGTGTCAGGGGATTTCTCGGAGAGATTAAAGAGCTTATTCGAAAGCAGCTTGCCGATCGGGGATCAGGACGGACCTGGCACTGCTATACCGGGGCAAGGGCTGCCTGATGCCAGTTTTCTGTCAACACGACCCCCACATAATGCAGTGTGAGAGGCCAGCCAGGTCGAAAATACACGACAGAGTCAGTGGCATTTGGGGGTGGCAAGCTGGAGGCTGTGGGGCAGAACACCTAGAAGCTTTCGGCAGCCCCTTTCTCCCACAGCAAACACAGCCAGGTGGCCCCCATTTGCTCTCGGGCAGGTACTTCTGCACCGAGGTTGACTGGGCCATGCGGTCACGGCAGATGCAGAGCGACAGCAGAGTGGCCCACTCGGAGCCGCACACTGCACCTCTGCACAACTCACTGCTCTGCTCTAGGCTGGCCCAGATCAATGACTCATGCAGATGCTTATCTGAAGGGCAGGTTATTATTATTCTTACACACCCTAAAGTAAATTTTCTCAGGTTTAAAATAGAAGAGTGCCTTAGGTGCCAGGCACAGAGTTCAGATGCCTGTCTTGTTTACGTCACCACGATTCAGAGCCTGCTGGCAGTGCAGAGCAATCCCCGAGGTAACAGCCCCTGCCTAAAAGGAACCAAGACCTTCCAGGGCACCCTGGCCACACTCCCCCGATGGCTATCCTGGATCCTTTCTAGGTGACTGTCTCTCTCCAGCGCTAGTCTTCCAAGTGACGGCTTGGCACCTGTAGAATCACAGAGTTGGAAGGGACCTTCAGGGTCACCCGGTCCAACCCCCTGCACAACACAGGAAATTCACAAATACCTCCCCTTCCCCACACCCAGTGGCTGCTGTTCCATGCCCAAAAGATGACAAAAAACCCTCCAGGATCTGCAGCCAAACTGGCCTGGAGAAAAATTGCTTCCTGACCCCAAAGTGACGATCGGCATTTCCCTGGCCACAAGAACTAAGCACTGAGGCAACCCTTCCTGCCCTCCCTCTCATGATCTGCCTGTAGTTGAGGCACAACCCCAAGGTGGGTCACGGCAGCAACACCACTGTCAGTCACTTTGGGATTTATTTATTTTTGCTTGAGAAAGAGACTGAGGGGGAAAGCAAAGAAGAAAGATATTTTTTTTAAAAAAACAACAACAATGAGGAAAGACTGGCAGAGGTTGGAGCGATGCTTTCAGCAACAGACTCAGTGGCCCTGAGAATTCAGGCCACCAAAGTGAAAGCAAATTGGCTACCTGCCGCAAAGGAAGAACAGACCAGGAAAGGGCACTTAAACTATCCCCACTTCCCCCTGCAACTCACTTTCCTACCAGCTACTGCCTCACCTAGGGCTGCCAGGCCATAACTGGGAACCCCCAGGAGCAACTGGGTGGGCAGGGCCTGGTGCACCAGCATGTCGATGTTACTTCTGGTAAAAACTGGAAGTGACATCATTAGAAGCTCTAGGACTCATAAAAAACGATGGTAAAGCCATAGCATTTCGGTAAATTCTAGAGTGTCCATTATGCCATTTTTCGTTTTTAACAGAAGTGACAGCACACACGTATGCACTCCACAGACACCCCATTTCCTCATTCCGGTGCTTGAGAAACTGGCAGACGATAAAAGAAGATGCTGGAAGGTCTGCTGCGTATAGCAGGAGACCTGGCATCCCTAGCCCCACCTCAGGCCACAGCGCACATGTAACTAGGCCTCAGGTGCAGGAAAGGAGGCCACAGAGGGAAGAGGGACGGGGCAGGCAGAAGGGTTCAGCTCCCCACAGGCACATCTATGGCCTGCTATCAGCTGAGGACAAACTGAGCCTCCAAACCTGGGCCTCCTACTGAACATCTAGCTTCAGCCATCTACAGTAAAAAAAAAAAAAAATCAGGATGGGCTGTGGCACTACATGCCGTACGGCTGACTCCTCCCTAGCAACAGTTGTTCATCCACACACTAGAGAGAGAACATCCCCGCTTATTCTGCTTCACCGTAAGAGTCCGTAAGCTTCTTGGCAAATCCCGGCACGAAACAACAAGAGATTGAGACGGCTGCTATCAGCAGGGCACAGATTCTTGGATGTACCCCTGCGTTTGGCTGCTCAGAAAGGGAAGCTTTCTAAAAATCCAGGCTGGGAGAGCCGCTCTCGCTGGCTGCGGGGGCTGGACTCTGAGCCAGTGTAAGAAGACCCCAGGCAGCTGTCCTGGCAGCCACACACACGCCCCGTCCCAGTGGTATGAGAACAATGCAGTGGCAGGAGGTGGAGGAGGAGGAAGGGCCGGGGCTGGTACAGGTAAGGGCCATGCACACCTGTCACTCTAGCAGGCGGCTGTAAGCCCCGTGCAGAGGAGCAGCTAATCTCCTGTGAGGGCTGGCAAAGCCATGGGCACACGTCCCTCTCTCTCAGGCCTCTTGCCAGCAACTTCCGAGGGAGGATGGATTGCCCTCCTCCCTTCGCCAACCTGAAGCAATCCTGCAAACAGCGTCGCCAGTGGTCAAAGTAAGCCAGAGCAGCCGGTGGTCAACTACAGCAGCAAGTTTTGCAGCAATACAGAAACATCCCATAAGATGTATTTTCTAAAGCCTCACCCCACCCCAGAGGGCTTGGACCGTTCTTCTAGTGGCGGTGCCAAGAGGACGAAAAGAGAGGTACAGGGATACAGGCATGCATGGCAACTCTGCCGACTGCCCTATCCTGCTCCTTAATCCCAAGGTATGTGGGGAGCAAAGTTCCCTCTAAGCTATAGAGCCCTGTGAGCAAAAATTCTACTTTGTGAGCTATTGGCATTAAAGTTGTGAGCAGGAGATTTGGCTGCTGCATAAATTAGTTTGTTCTGGAGCCGTCCCTCCTGAGCTAAGACAAAAATGTGTGAGCCAGAGGCTAAAAAACTGTGAGCTAGCTCACACTAATTCAGCTTAGAGGGAACACTGGTGGGGAGAGGCTGCAGTAGCTGAGTGTGGGAGGGAGGGCACCCTGCACACGCTCAGAGGGATATCTGTTTATTATACAACATCCATTCATACCAGTATCTTTGAAGAAGGGGTGTGGGAGAGGCATGGAAAACAAAAGACCTGGGACCAAAGGCGGAAGAAGTCAAGCCAGGAAACTGCAATGCAGAATGTCAAGCCAGGTGCAGAATTCAGCATCCAGAAAATCTCTCCGCTAAGTTTCCAGCCCTCTTGGCTGTGACGACAGGCTTGGAAGCTGTAGGGATACTACCTGCTAAAATCTCTAACACCGCAGAGGAGCCACGGGGCTCCCCAGTGATCCAAAGAGCTACAGGGCCCCCTGCACACAGACACATGAAGCACAGCTAAGGTGGGCTTCTCCTCCTTTGCCAACTTGGGCAGCTCCCTCCCCTCCCACCCTTGTCAAAGTTCAGACTGCAAACTCCTCAGGGCAGGGTGTTTGTCTTCATTCCATCATAACATCAGCAGAATACGACAAGGCTATTGCAGAATCCAGCTGTTCTGGGTGGGATTTCTAAAGGCATGCAGGGCTTCAGTCAGACCAAGCCGCGAGGGCCCCGGGTCCCTTTCCTAGCTCCCATCTCACCAAATGCCAAAAACAGGAGCTCTGCCCAAGTGGCATTGGCTGATCAAGACGGATCCTTTCTGCTGCTGTGAAGGAAGAAGCAGCAATGCCAACCCTTTGCTACCTAAGAGACAGAGAAGTGGGAGGCCAGGCGCATGGCCATTTCCGCATGCTGGACCCTGTCACCCTTCCCATCTGATGCCATGGAACCGGGGGACTCACAAAGCTGCCACTCCGGGAGAGGTGCACCTCCGAATGCCTCCGGGTGCTAGAGAAAGTGGGCGGATGGGGCACCGGTTGCCCAGGCTCCTCAGTGCCCACGAAGTGAGCGCACGGATCCTCCGACTCCAGCAGCAGGGTGCTGGGGTCCTTCTCCTCACCCAGGCAGAGGCCGAGCAGCTCCACATTTTGGCTCAGCTTTGCCTGCTCGGCCCACAGGGCGGCGGTTTCTTCCCGGAGGTCGCTGAGAGCGGCGGCCAGAGGGCGCACCAGGCAGAGGGCCTCCTCCACGCGCTGCTCGACAGCCTGGCGCCAGGTGTGCAGCTCCTGACGGATCTTCTGCAGCGCCTGTTGCAAGGGCTCCTCCAGCGCTAACTCCTGCATGTGGTCCAGTTTGAGGACAGCTACCCCAGGCATGACAATGAAGCCACAGGGGCAGGGGGGAGGGGGAAGCGGGGTTTGCTAGCGTAACACAAGCCCCACAAAGTTGTGAGAGACACATGCACAGATCCTGCCTAGAAGGAGCCAGAAAGTCTTTTATAGCAGTGGCACAACAGTCACTTGTCCACACCAGCGGAGGAGGGGGGTGGGGTCTCTACGTTGCCAACCAGCTATTCTTATCACAGAAGGGCCACAAACGGGGGAAGAGAGCGGCAAGCAGCTCGGGAGGCTCCAGAGTGACAGACAAAGACAGAATGATGGAGCTGGGCCAGGTGTCAGGCGGTGGGAGTGGGGGTGGGAGAGGCACTGGCCAAGTGCAGTGGAAGGTGGGGGCTGCCCTCTTCCAGTGACAGATCTGGGGTAAGGGTGCCCCCTGGGGACTGCACAGAGCCTCAGCCTTCCCGAAGGCACTACACTCCGGCACTCCCAGGCAGCCAAACACACACAGGCCTCTGCAAAGCAGGCCTGCGTAATCTGCAACCCAGCAAGCTGGAAAAAAATAAAAATGCAGCCCAACAACAATGAATACGCCCAAGCAGCTGAAGAAGACTCCTCTACCGGCTGACTGTCCCGAACTGCAGAAGCAACTGGCGGTGTTGTCAAGGTGTCAAGGGCCTGGCCAGGTTGGCTGCTTTAGCTTGGGGGTTCGCTAGTTGTGCGGGCCTGCCCCAGCCCCGGCTGTTCACCCATCCCAAGGCCTGGATCAGCTGCTCTCAGGCTCAGGCGGAGAAAGGAGCAGGTAAACCAGCTGACCTGGATAGCGCAGGCTAGCCCAATCTGTCAGAGCCTGGAAACCAAACAGGGTCAAGCCCTAGTTAGTACTTGGATGGGAGACCACCAAAGAAGTCCAGGATTGCTACTCAGAGACAGGCAATGGCAAACCACCTCTGAACACCAGTTTGGTGTAGTGGTTAAGTGAGCGGACTCTAATCTGGGAGAACCGGGTTTGATTCCCCACTCCTCCACTTGCACCTGCTGATGTGACCTTGGGTCAGTCACAAGCTCTGGCACAGCTGTCCTTGAAAAAGAGCAGTTTGTGTCAGAGTTCTCTCAGCCCCATCCACCTCACAGGGTGTCTGTTGTGGGGAGGGGAAGGGAAAGGAGTTTGTAAGCCGCTCTGAGACTCCAAGTGAAGGGCGGGGTATAAATCCAATCTCTTCTCTTCTTCTTCTTCTTTTTGCCTTGAAACCCTACGGGGTTGCCATTAAGTCAGCTGTAACCTGACGGGTCTTTCCACACCACCAAACCATCAGGGGAGTTCCCCCAACCCTGTGGGCTGTTTCTGGTAGTAATTGCTAGCACCCCACTCCCATGTTTGATGTTCATCACTAAACTGTGTTCATAAATCCATGAATGTGTGTATTATCACAGGAAAACATGGGTGGTGGGGTTGTTGTTTTTTTTACAAAGACTGGGGGGAGTCAGAAGGTGGAGAATTTTGGGGAAGGATAGGCTTACACAGTCAGGAGTCAGGAGACTAGAATTAGTAGCTCTAGAAACACAGAGAGCCATGCAGGATATCAAATGTAACAGCTAAAATGCAGACCATGGTCAACCCATGAGGTACTACAGGATAGCCATTCATTCCTAGGTGCTAGGGTAAAGTTAACTTTCTTAAAGGCTGCAGAGGATAAGAGAGACTCCGTCTTGCACACACACCCATCCCTGCAAAGATACTGAAAGGCTTAGTTGGCACAAGCAGTAGATGAGAGGGGCAAACCTGTGTCTGGAGTGCATCATTTCGTATTGCAGGCGAATGAGGAAAACCAGAATGTCAGGAAACACAGGCTACCACCGTTCTTCCTGATACACCAGTTATCTATAGGGAGGACCTTTCTTCTTCTTCTTCTTTGGTACAAAGACCACCAAGATAAGCAAACCCCCACCTTCAGCTGTGCAGTATATTTCTTTTTATTTATTTTATTAAGTCATTAATATTTCACCTGTACCCTGCTTTTCTCCCCCATGGGGACCCAAAGTGGCTTACATCATTCTCCTCACCTCCATTTTAAGGCTGGGCCAAGAAAGCGTGGCTGGCCCAAGGTCACCCAGCGAGCTTTTCCACGGCACAAGTGGGGATTCGAACCTGGATCTTCCAGATACAAGTCCAACACTCTTAACCACTACACCACACTGGCTCTCTCTATGCCAGTGAAATCCCAAGACGGCAGGACTGGCAAAACCCCTTCAAGACACAGCAGCAAGGATGGATGGGGGAGGCCCATGGGGGGGGGGGGTTTCCCCCAGGCAACAGATGCTGCTGCTACTGCCCAAGTATTCTGCTCT